GTTAGTGTTGATATTCACAGTAGGACTTAACATATGGTACATTTCAATTCAAGAGACATTCAATGCGTAATTTATTAAGTCTGGATAGTTAGTGGATCATGTAACGAAGTGAATCAGTTTAAAAATTGAATGATACATGCTCAGCTGATCCAATTGCGATCACATTCCATAATCATGTGATTACAAGATCAAGCTGAGAATGTTTTGTCAGCCCCACCCCACCCAACTCTCCTCTTTCCAAATTCTAGTAAGATACGAACTTTCATACAAACAGTTTGTACCATACACAAGTACATCACTGAAGAATATGAAGACCAACTGTAAATTGACAATTATATAGCCTGTTGATGGGTATTGATGGTAATATATGACTAGTTGAGATGACTACATTCTCTGTGTGTGTGTGTTTGTCACACACGCACACACCAAACTGTAATGTTTCATCTTATTTAAAACTGTTCAGCTTGATATACCTATGACATTCCAGAGTTGCTGCTCACTCTGGGAATCAAACCAAGTGCTGCTCGCTTCACTTTATCGACTTAGCTAGTCCGTTCAGATAACCAATTAATTTTAGAATGTAGTGAAGTTTAATACATCTCTAATGAAATATGTACGTCCTGTACGAATGACCACGATATTTTTCATTAGGTTACAAGTATTAATACGCAGAAATGTATGATGATTAGCAAGTACGTCCAGCTATTGATGAGTCCCAAATAGAACGAAACACAAGTTCTGACAATTAATTAATCAGTAGCTATGGTTATTCAATAGTTTGTTCTTTGTTTATTTTTCAGTGTGTTATCTCAAAGATTTTGAGATCACTATCGAGAAGCTAGAAACATTAGATGGCCGCTTTGTCCTAGTTTCGGGACTCAGCAATAGTGAGTATTCACAATCCTACATATGGGACAATGTTGGATGATAATGATGAGTTCAATTATCGTTTGCAGAGCCATGGATGTACACCAACACTAAGCATACAATGACGGAAATTTCATGCAATGCTTCCAGCTTCACAATGATGTTCTAACATTGATCAATTCATATATTTCAAACGTTAATTCTCTATTTTACACTCAATCCGTTCTACATTGACCCGTACACAATCGATAATCGTAGATAACTTCACATACTTAGATTGTAAAACTCACTGAATTAAAACAATACAAAAACTACCTAAGATTACTGGATACAACACATTTCAGTGAACATTGAACAATGAACAATGAACCCTAACCTTGATTTAAATCAATATAAACATTTTATTGTTATTCCTAATCTACTTCAGTAATAAATTAGTCAGCTAAATTTAAATGAATCGAATACTTAATCACATGTTCAATCTAACAAGCACGCATAGACAGACAGTCATACAGACACACACACATAAAATACAAACATGATCAGAATGATATTTTTATTTATCGATTATTGGATAGATAACTCCTCCTGGGGTTACTGGGGTTGGTGAGGCTATCCCTCAGAAAACAAACTCAATGAAAAAAATGCTAAACAGGAATATGTATATATATATATATATACCTATAGAAAGAGAGTTTTCATCACGAGATGATGTCACTTGAATAAGCCACAAAGTATTGTTTTCACTTAGCGCTGAACACCTCAGTGACAGTCAGAAGCCACAATCCAACATAACATCGTACCGAAGAGATTAATAGCACGATGGTATGCCGAGAAATCTTGTTGTCAACTCTAACAAACAATCAAACGAACAGCAACACGTGACAATGTGTACATACACACACAAATATAATCACTACTCCATACAACTGATTACCTATGTATCAACAACAAACACTTGTTGACATTCCTCCCCACATTTCCTCCTTATCAGCATCAATCAGGAGAATACATTAGGTGGTTGGGGGGGGAGGTGGAGTTGTATATTTCGATTGTTTGTATAAAAGATCAATGCTTGTTCATATAATTGCATTACATTGTGTACACATTTACCGATTGTGTGTTTCTAATTCTCTCTATGCGAATATTTCAAGTATCAACACATTCGGATAATTAGAAATAGTCAGTGATCAACACTGTTGATCATGCAGTGTGGATGGGAGCGGGTGGTGAGGGTGGTGTCAGTGAAAATGAGATCAACAAATGAGCAACTAATTGATTGAGCGAAATGTGGTCGCATTTCATATGCGATCAATTAGTGATCAATCTGTTTACTTTAAACACGAACATGAAGTCGGGTGGTGGTGGTGGTGTCGGATGAGTGAGACTGAACAGGAATAAAATAACCACTTAGTAACTCAATTCGATCATATGTATATCTGTATATTTATTCAAAATTAATATTTACTTATCTGTTTATCATATCAGTTTTTAATTTGTGAACAACCTTGTTACTGACTCAATCAAACATTGACAAACATTGAAATGAGACAAGGTAATGAGCAAGATGTTTTACTTCAGTAAGGAACTGTTTAGCAATATTCATCCACAAGAAATTGAGACTAGTTTACTTCAAACAAGTCGAGTATGGAACAGCTACTCGTTATTATTGCTATTATTATTATGAAGACGTAACTACAGCGTAGTGAAACAGACACCAACTTTCATACAAACAGTTTGTACCATACACAAGTACATCACTGAAGAATATGAAGACCAACTGTATATTGACAATTGTATAGACTGTTGATGGGTATTCATGGTAATATATGACTAGTTGAGATGACTACATTCTCTCTCTCTCTCTCTGACACTCTCACACTGAACTGTAATTCGAAAGCCTTGAACCTAAACACCTTCTACATAACTATGTATCTAACGTCTTCGTTCGAAAACATGTTCAGTGGTGTTTCGATCAATTGTGAATGTTGGTGTTGTATAGTTGAACAGAACATTGATGAATTTATCTCGAGATAAACATTCACAATCGAGAAAAATTCAATTTCATTCATGAATTAATTAAAAAAACTGATTGAGAACGTTTATTTGTTTTTTTAAAAAAAAATGGTAAAATTATTCATTAAAATTGGCTAATAGGTTTTTTTATGTTGAAATACAAACATCCTTCTTCAATTTTGCATACCCTGTCACCATCACTGTTTATCATACAGTTTCAACTAAAATAAAAATATTTCCAGACATTGTTGTCATTAAAATTAATCTATTGACTTAATTTTAATCGAAAATAAAAACAACTTACCTTTTCACATTGAAATTGATCAATTAATCACAGATTAGAAAAAATAATTTAATTATTATTTATTGAATATTGATTGACATTATCTGGTTAATGAGTTTAAGTTGTAATTTTTATATTATTATTATTACTAATATTATTAATAGTAGTATTATTAGTCTTATTGAATTGTATACCACTCAGTTGGATTTACTCTCTAAAAGACCAGTGGAGAATATTTAGGACACTCGTTACAACAGTCTAAATAAGTTTGAATTATGTTTTCTGGTTAACGTTTTTTTAGCGAGTTGGTTAGAAGAAGCAGTGGAAGTGGATAGGACATACACTGCCTGCAGAAAGTACCCAACTAAGTCACAAGACAAGCCCTCACTTGGAATCCTCAAGGTTAAAGGAAAGGAGGAAGGCAAGAAACACATTACACCGAGAAATAGAGAAAGATATGAGAGGAATGAACAAAAGAGTGGACAGAATTGCAAAGGGAAGCCCTGGACAGAGTTGGCTGAAGAATACTGGTGGGCGGCCTATGCTTCATTGGGAAGACAGGTGTGAGTAAGTAAGTAAGTAAGTAAGTAAGTAAGTAAGTAAGTAAGTAAGTGCATAAGTAAGTAAGTAAGTAAGTAAGTAAGTAAGTAAGTAAGTAAGTAAGTAAGTAAGTAAGTAAGTAAGTGCATAAGTAAGTGCATAAGTAAGTGCATAAGTAAGTAAGTAAGTAAGTAAGTAAGTAAGTAAGTAAGTAAGTAAGTAAGTAAGTAAGTAAGTAAGTAAGTAAGTAAGTAAGTAATCTAGTTAGTTAGTAAGTAAAAGAGTAATTCTTACTTTTCAAAGCTTCTACTTGTCAGTAATAATACTCTAATTGTTATCAGGACAACTTCTAACACATCAGATCAATTAACAGTGATATAGTTTTGTTTCGATAAACGATAATGTTTCTTCAACTTCAATCTTATTTAGATTTGCTGATTAAAATGTGCACCTATGACTTGTTTTAATGTGATGAAACTTTAAACTGATGAAAATTTTTTTCGAAATAATTCAGTCTTGTTTTATACATCAAAATGGATTGCATACAATTCCAACCAACAACAAAAATTGATGCGCATAAATTCAGTTAGATTAAAATATTTTTCATCAAATTCTAATATATTACTATAAACTAATAATAATAGTAGTATTCAGTATTATTATTTATTTATATATCCGCATACAAATGTTACTCTGATGTTGTAGAGTTGAGCTTATCCATTGGACTCTAATCCTACCATCCCAAGCAGATCGATTTGGAATAATAAGTGTGGTGGAATGCCAACAGGAGTTTCACACGTGCAAACAACAACGTAAAGAAAGGGTTTAAAAGAAGTCTGCACTAATAAAGTCACACTTCAGCTTTCTCTATAGATTAACGTCTCTAACGAAAAAAAACTTTTGAAAGCACATAGCCATTAAACGGTAAACTTCTCACAGAAAGACAACAACCGGTTGTTCCTTGTATTAACTGTTCGCAATCCAAGGTCACTGAGGCCATTAATAATCCACTTTAAGTTATAGGTTTCTCAATCATATATACATCCAAATGCGTCACAAAACAGTCCTTCACTTGGAATCCTCAAGGTCAAATGATAAGTAGGAGACCAAAAAACACATCACTCCGAGAAATGGAGCCAGACATCAGAAGAATGAACAACAATTGGACAGAACTAGAAAGAATGGCACATAACAGAGTAGGTTGAAGAATGTTGGTCAGCAGCCTATGCTTCTACTAAGGGTAACAGTTGTAAGTCAGTAATATATATTAATACGAACCAAAAAAGAAACACTGTTACTTACTATTTTTAGTAGAGATTTTGGTTTTCTTCTCAACTGTATTATGATTATTATTATTATTATTAATAATGCTAGGATTGACAATCTTTAAATTGTGATCACGTTTAGCGTTGATCTCGTTCGTGGTATCAACTGAATTATTATTATTATGATTATGATTATTAACTCCAAGATCAGTTGAAATCATTGAATTCATTGACAATTGATCATTTGGTTTTGTTTTAATTTTATCATTCATTGGCTGTTGATGTTCAAAGTCGGAATTTAAATGTTCCGGTGGGAAATGTATCAAATGTGGAGAATAATATGAGGAAACATTGAAATTCAATGTTGTCGATGGAAGGCATCCAGTGATATTATGATTATTATTGATATTATTATTATTATTATTACTATTTGTAATTGTATTATTGACGGGAAAATTTTTATTTACATCTAATTTTGTTAAATATTCCATAGTAGTTTCTTTTTTTCTGAGTGAATATACAAAAACTTATCCACTCATAAAGTGATATAAGTTTATACAAGCCCAACAGTAATAACAAATACGAAATATTAATAAACTTACATTTGATTCGTTGATTAGTCGGCGTCCAAAATGAACCAATCAGAAAAATTTGATGAATCTGCATTATTTATTGTTAACCAATCAGAAATTCAATTCGGCCGTAACAAATTGACCAATGTTTGATTAAGAAGCAGAAAGAGATTAACAACCTCCCCTTTCTGTAAATATTTGTATGCTTAGTGGGATAAGGGATAATTTTTGAAGTAGAATAATACACTAAGATAAATTCTGTTTCTATGTAAACTTATATTTTCAAGATTTGGCTAGTCTTTACTGGTATAGAATAATTTTTTGGATTGGGAAGACTAATTAAGTAACCAATATAAAAATAATATATCAGCATATAATATGTCATTTCTAATACGTTATTTTTAAGAGTGGTAATTTCGTGTTTATGGGCTGTGTGCGTTTCCACTTGATTGTTATTCTTCATTTCTAATGATAAATTTTGAAGTTATGCTCACAAGTATGAAATAAGTGGGACTGAAATCTATGTGACGTAGTTACTTATTCCTGTTACCTCGAACGGAGCATAGACTGCCAATCAGCATTCCACAATCAACTTTGGCATCTCATAGCCAGTCTACTTTTCCACAACTTTGGATCATTCTTTTAATACCTGTTTCCAATTCTCAGCCCAATATGTTCTTTAGTCTATATCTTCTCCTTTCTCCTTGACGATTTCAAGTTAGAGCTTGCCTCATGACGTATTCTAGTGATTTCTGCAATGCTTGTCTTATTCAGATGTAGCTCTTTTCCACGATTTCCTCTTTTTTCAATTAGAATTATGAAGACTAGTGTTATTCGTACATTTTAAATCATTAGTCAATCAATCATTTTTAGCCCACCAGTATTCGAAATGTGTAAGCAGTGGACGGTCGTTTCGTCCTGGTATGGGACTCATCAGCAGTGGGCATCCACAACTGCTGCACTTTTAGTGCTTCCAGGTTTCGAATAGTGGTCTAACAACGATAGATTGATGATTTCAATGTGCAAATTTCCTCTTTACCTGGAATCTGGTCTATTCTCTTCTATAGTATGCTGTTTCTCATGTTCCCTGGCTAACGGTTTCTCAGTACCTTGCATTTACAACTGTGAATAAACGCATGTATTTTATGGATGATGGCTCTTTTAGTTCTCCAACTTTCCGTCCTATACACCAGAACTGTCTTGACGATTGTATTGAAAATTGTGACTTTGGTGTTGGTTGGCAGTTGTGTCGAGTTGCAGATGTTTTCCAAACGTAAAAAATCTTGCCCTTGTTTTGCTAACCTGTATCTGCATATCTGTATCAGATTCACCTCGTTTATCAATGATGTTAACCAGGCATATAAGAGTTCTCATATCTTTCTGAGCTTCTAGAATTATCAGATAGATTGATTTTTCATCTTGGCCACTGCCAAAAGATTATCTACGGCTATGTCAGTTTCTCTCTCTCTCTCTTTGTTCTCACATCTTCCAAAGCTTCTTTTCTGAACATGTTATTGATTCAGCTATGATCGATTTGGTTCTCCATAGTGTGATCCACAAATTACCCCACCCCCATGGCCATAAATTACAGTCAAATAGCTTAAATTTTAAATTAGTTTAAGGTGAAAAGTTTGTTGAAAATGAGAATAAGAAAAGTTAGGGGACAACACAGCTACACAACATGCGCCAATCAAATCACACTTGATGGATATGACTTGGAAAACGTTAAAACTTTTACATATCTGGACAGCATCATTGATGAGCAAGGTGGATTGGATGTAGATGTGAAGGTGCAGATTGGAAAAGCAGTGGGTTGCGTTTCTATAATTGAAGAATATCTGTAACTCAAAACAACAAGCAACCGACACTAAAATCAGAATTTTCAAAAACACATGTCAAGAGAGTTCTACTGCATGAGGCGGAAACTTGGAGAACTACCGAAGTTATCATCCGGAAAATACAAGTACTTATTAACGGTTGGCTTCACAAGATACTCAGGATCCGTATGGCAGAGAACATGAGCAAAAGCCTATTGTGGGCGAGAATAAACCAGATTCCATCTGAGGAACAAATAAGAAAGAAGTGCTGGATGTGAATAGGACAGACATTTTGAAAATCACAAAACTGCATCATGAAGTAATCTGTATCTTCAAATCCTCAATGTCGAAGGAAAAGAGGGAGGCCAAGGAACATATTACGTCAAGAAATGGAGACAGATATGAAAAGAATGAACTTCAAATGAGTAAAACTAGGAAGGGGGGGCTCAGGATAGAGTATATTGGAGAATACTGGTCTGCTGCCTATACTCGATTACGGGTAAGTACAGGGGTGAAATATAAGTAAAACTTTAAAAATACAGAGTTCCATTGTAATTATGAATCAATGATTGTTCTATTCGTCAGTAAATTCTCGGAGCTGTAGTGAGAAGCCTTGACTGATGGAATTCAGCTGGGTTGAGTATAGTGGACAGTTACTTACTAAAGACAAAGGGTTATATCGTGCACTACTTTGGATTGTTTGGATACCAACTTGCTGGTGTATAGGTTAAGTTTTCGCGTGCGAAACCTATGGTTTTCAGTTGAATTCCCTGATGAGTCCCATACTAGGACGAAACAGTCGTTCAGTGTTTCCAGGTTTCTAATGGTGGTGTTCTAAAGCTAACCAATTCATAATTTCAATGAAACTCAACAATCTCTATAACTTTATGATAAAAAATCCTAATCTATGATTGTTTGAATACAAGTGAAATTTTTTTAATAAAAATCAAAAAAAAATCCGTTTAACTAAAATGTACTTACTTACTTAAGCCTGTTACCTTTGATGGAGCATAGGCCGCCGGCCAGTGTTCTCCAACCTGACTTTATCCTGGGTTTTCTTTTCGAGTTCTTAACAATTTTTGTTCATTCTTCTCATGTGTGAAGTTCACTCCATTTGTCGGCGTAATGTGTTCCTTGGCATTCCTCTCTTTCTGTGACCTTAGCGGGTTCCAAGCGAGGGCTTGTCTTGTGACGTAGTTGGTCGCTTTCCGCAATGTGTGTCATACCCACCAATTCCTGATTTCCTCCTCCATTGGAATCTGGTTTGTTCTCTCCCACAGTAAGTTGTTACTAATGCTGTTTGGTCAACGAAAATGTACTTAATAAAATATTATATTCTATGATTATTTGACTATTTTAGAGCATTTTCATTGACAAACTGATTGTCAAGATATCAACCAATGTTATTTACTGCTTGAAATGTCGCTGAAATTTTTATTGGCACTTAGATGTTATTTGCATTCAATTTTTATAGTTACAATCTTATTTAGACCATCATTAGAGACCTGGAAGCATTAGATGACCGTTTCGTCATAGCAGTGAATAACCCTAACCCCCCCTCCGCCGAGCAGCATGCGTGAATCAAACCCAACACCTAGTGCATAATTGATATCAATGTTTAACTTTAATCAATCTATAGATCTTATGCAACTTTCATCAGTTGCCTTCAATGGATAACAGTCTTCCACTCGATACAGATTGAACTGCACTGATTACAAACCTCCTTCATTAATAAGCAACAATAAGGATTGCGTCGTGTATGCGTGGGTGTGTGCATTGAATTTTGTTAGACAATCAACAGTTCACATATCAACTCACGGGATCATAGAATAAAACTTAATCGATATCGATAGATTGGATCATTGCCAATTAGTGTAAATAATGAATATTCACTAGTCTTGCTGTAATTTGATTTTACAAAGTTTTATTTGCATTGTTGACTATTTTTTTTGGTATCATTCAAATTTCCAAGAATAAATATAATTCTATTTTAAGAAAATCTTTTAGTAAGCTTCAAAAAAAATGTATGTTACTTTCTATTTACTAAATCAAATTAATTTCTATTGAACTGATTGTACTGCGAAGTAGTTTGCTCCTTCTTACTATACGGATGCGAAACATGGCCGTTAAGAGTAGAAGATGTTCGTAGGTTACTAGTATTCGATCATAGATGTTTAAGAAGCATTGCTCGTATATCGTGGGACAGCCGAGTAAGCAATGCTGTCGTTAGGAAACGAGTACTAGGTAAGGATGGCAGATCAATCGATGAAGTAATGAAACTTCATCAGTTGAGGTGGTTGGGACATGTGTTACGTGTGCCTAACCACCGACTACCTCGTCAAGCTATGTTTTGTGATGTAGGAATAGGTTGGACGAAAGCTAGGGTCGGCCAGACCAAAATATGGCAGAAATCTATGAAGTCACTGACAAGTGGACTGAGTAATGTTGGTAGATGTAGGCTACCTTGTTGGAGCTCACCAGACGGTAGTAACCGATGGTCAGACACCTTGAATGACATGGCTCAAAATCGTTTGCGATGGCGCAGGTGCATCCACTATTTGTGTTCTCTCAAATTCTAATCTTCAGAATTCCCCATCATCTCTATCTTTCTATTTCTAAAGTTATCTCTGTTAATTATACTTCTCGAATCATATCTTCGATTCATAATCTTCTCCATTACTGCTAATACTTCCACTATCGCTGTCACTCTTGGATTTGAACTGAAAGTTACGTCTCTGTCCTGACGTGGTATGGCAACCTGAACTGATGTACTTATGTACGAAGTTCTGTGTTGTATCTGTCTGCCTGATTAGTAAACAAGGTGTATCGGATTTAGGTGTATAGAGACAGCGTTCTTACAATTCAAGAACATTTGGAACTAACCCCAAAGTTAGAATTTTATGTTCAAAACAGTTCTGTTGTATGGAGTGGAAATTTGAAAAACCACGACAGTCATCATTCAAAAGATACAAGTGTTTATTAACAGTTGTCTATGCAATATGCCGTGGATCTGTTAACCAGACATAATGAGCAACCACATAGTGTGGGGGACAACAAAATGAGGAAACAGAGCTTAAGGTGGATAGGACACACAATGAGGAA